TTCACTTTATACTTTTATATACTTTTGTCGATTAATTCCTTTCTTTTTGCATTATATAAATGGGAGATTAGACTAACTCGGATTAAGACCATAATCTTTCCAAGCTAAAGTTAGCTGGAATAGAAAGCTTCATATTCTTCTTCCTTTGGTCATCATCCTTTTGGTGGATTCTCAAAATACAGTATTCCCAATTCCCCTCACCTTTCTTTTTTATAAAATTAGGTAGCTTCTCCTTTTTTCACATGTCATTCGTAAATACTAATTTTTCTTATACACTCTAGATAGTTGCATGCTTATCCAGCTTTCTTGGGAAAATATAATTCCCCACCTTTGATGCTCTCCCAGTATTTTATTAATTATTTATAAAAGATAAGTTAGAACAGTATAGATTTAGATAGATGCATGTTTTGTTCGGTTTAATTATTTAGAAATAATTAATGGTTGATATTTAAAAATTAATTGTTATTACTTATAATTTTAACACACTTATTCATTTGATTAAAAAAATAATTAAGAATGACAACAAAGAAAAAGAGGGATTAATGTTGTATAGTTCGTTAATTATAATTTTATGTACATATTTAGTTACTAGCAACGACAAGATTTGACAACAAAGAGAAAGAGAAAATCTTCCACAATGTGGCAATGAAGAGAGAAAGACTATATAGCTAATCGATTTGGTTGTGGACGTTTGATGGGGTACCCACCCCCACTCAAGTCTCCACTAATGCAAAAGGGTGATTTTGAATTTGGGGGACAAAATCTTTGATCTTGTGGGGGGATTGTCTCTAGTCTTTCTTTTTTTTTTTTTTTTCCTTTGTTCTTCTCCACTTCAAGGTTGCTATAGAGTTTAGATTGCAACATATGCATGCTGGTTTTCTCATGATTTAAGAGAGAGAAAGAAGAATGTGTTGATTTTTCTAAGGAAAACAGCTTGCCTTCTTGGACCAAGAGGAGATATCATCCTGTCCCAACTCCAATAATTGTAGAATAATGTGATCATTGCCTCCTCTTAACCTTTCTCTTTGACCCGATCCTTGTATCTTTTTCTTTTTCTTTTTCCTTTTTTTTTTTTCACAGAAAAGTGTATATATATTTACTCTAGAATCTAGATATTCAGTCATAGCTGTATTGGGAAAGTGAGATTTGTGTGATTGTACTCGATAATGAATTTATTTGCTCGTGTCTTCAACAGAACGTGGGTGTGGTCCTAGCCTCATGGCATGATGTTAAGGCCATGAAGTTTTATATAATTTTATTATTAAAAATAATTAATAATTGATTTTTATTATTTAAAAAATTAAAATTAATTTATAAATTAATATTTTTAAATATTATAATTAATTATATAAAAACATTAAAAGTTAATAAAATATTAATTAAACTAAGCAATATTTATATAAGTTTAACAAAACAATATATTGTTGAATAATTTGTAAACGTTTAAAATTTCACGTCAAGAAAGTATGAAAATTTAAAAGAATTTATAAAAAATTATTCTTTATCAACAAATAATTAAGTAAAATGAAACTCAAGGTATATTGGGTCTTACCCTTTTATATATAGTTAAAAGATAGACACTTGGAGCTTGACTGCCAAAACATCATTAATTTTTTATTATTTTTAGATTTTTTATTTTATTTTATTAAATTAAAATTTGAAAAGATATATCTGAAAATCATATATAACTTTTGAAAGTCAAAAGATATATCTATAAAATGGTGTCTTTTTGGAGAGATACATCCCTATAAATAGTGACTTTTCGGACAATATAAATTCCTAAACAAAGTCAAAGTTCTACATCTAATTTTTTGAGAGAATTTTGAATATTGTTGTATTTTAGAAGATTTTAAATTTTTAAGAAGAGTGAGATCGCCGCACAACTATTCCTTTTATTCTTCTTCTATTTCTTATTTTCTAACACATATTGTTGGAACTTAAATATTTTAATAAAAAATAAAATAATATATTTTATAAATTAAATTTATTGGCCTATTAAAACCTTGGTCAAAATAGCCATTGTAGGTTAATTACCCTACTTAAAGGCACATTATTTCATAATAATTACCCAATTTATTCCTACCATTAACCTACAAATGGGAGTTCCAAGACCATGAATCATATAAATATGACATGTCTTTTGCTCAAAGGGGTGTTTCTCCACATTCTCCTATTTTTCTTATCTTGCTTTATCCTCTAAATATTCTTGGGTGAAAAAGAGTGTTTTGAGTTAGGTGACTCTATGAATAGTGCATATTCATAGAGTGTAATTATAAAACTATAGCATCCTGGGAGCAACATGCTAAATGTATTTTTACTGCACCGGTTGATCTACTCTTCACAAAGGCGTGAATTGCCTTAAAATAAGTAAGTTTTTCACACCTATTTTGATGATAATTTCTCATTAATAATTCTTGATAAATTCACTAATTATTTTTTTATTTGATCTTATGACCGAGACACAACAATGATGCAATGTGAAGATGGAGGAGAGTGTTCGAGGAACAACACATATGACAATATCCAATCCACATAATGCACTGATTATTGTTTGTTGATTTGGAGTAACAAGTAGGAAGAAGATCCATGATCCCCACGCTCTGATTTAGATTTTGGGTTAATGTGAATCACTTTTTGTAGATTATATGTTCGAGTTCTATAGATTTTTTTTCTCAATTTTTATTTATTTAGTGTGTATTAATTTCTTTCCTTAAAAAAAATCCATTTGCCATTTAAAAACTTTCAAATTAGCGAATTAATACATTAAAAAAAAAATAAAAGTAAAAATTAGGACGATCTGGGTGTAGACGTCTTTGGGGCTAATGGTGTGTGTAAAGATTTTTTGCGACCAAAAGTGTCTATAGTCCTTCATGCGCAGCAAACAATTCAAGATTTCTTTTGACCGCAGGATTTGCACTTACATTTGCATCTAAACATTCTAATTTAAGACTAATATAAATGAGGTAGAATCTACTTATATA